CCCCAAAACCCCAAAACCCCAAAACCCCAAAACCCCGTAAAATATAAGATTAGATTATTACTATTCGGGCATGGCTGATCAGCAGGACAGAGGCTCTAGCTTTAAAAGTAGTGACGGCAAGAACCCCAGCTTTATATCAAATGCAGAACAAGTAGAAGCAGATAATGGATATTTTGAGCAGAAATTAGAGGAGTTTAAGGATTATTTTAGGGAGAGGAGTGCTGGTAGAGGGGATAAGGACGCTCAAGTGGCCAGAAGTCCTGAGAATGACTCTTCGAGGATTAAGTCCATGATCACTATATATGAGTTCATACTTGGGAGAAATAAAGATATGCTGAAAGCTATTAATAGAGAAAGGAAGAATAATGAGCAGTACAGGAGACAACTCCCTCTCTTGCTAGACCGACTTCAGTGCTTGAATGAGGCATGAATCAAGAAGGAAGAGATGATTAAACAGACTGGAGAATACATGCAAGAAAGTGAAAATCAGATCTTTGACTTAAAACAAGAGCTTGCTCAGAAAGACTCTCTTATAAAGGACTTGAATAAAACTATCTCTGACCAACGAGAGAAACTTGATTCGAAATATCTAGATTCCTCTAATATCAGTTTTGATTCTAAATTGAATGACTCTCGGTTCGCATCAATCAAGGGTAAAAATGGAGAGACTAGCTTCCATAACGAGGCTGATTTAGAGACTATTAAAGAACTAAAAGACGACATCGGTCAACTTCTCAAGGAATACAAGATCTTAGAGAAGCAGAAAGACGAATTCTGAGAGAAATACCACAGACAACTTAAGAGAAATGACGAACTTCTAAAGGACATTATTAATATGGAGGTGGTTATCACAGACCAAAACGACCAAATCCGGAACATGCGTGACAAACTGAAGACTAATTTTAAGCAGCAGAAGAGGAATGAAATTTTAGTAAGGAATATCGGAAAACTTAAGGAATCTCTTGACATTTCAGCTGATGAGCATCATAACGAAAATACAAGTAACTTGAATATCAGCCCGAACATCTTAAAGCAAGGTAATTTGGCAGAATTGAAGCAAGGTAAAAAGGAAGACTCTTATGAACACATTGATGAAGAAACTATAAATGATGCCTTGAACTTATCATACCAGGTACTTGACCCTGGCTTGATGAGTCAGGATCTCCCTCATCTGATTTCAAGGTCAAGAAAGAATAAGGATTCTAGCTCAACTGCTGCTGAAGGAGAGTCTCTGTCAAAATCTTGAGGCAAACGAGTGTTTAGCTCAATAGGTAAGAAATATTCTGCTAAAATATTTCTCGTCTAATACTATTAACTCTAGATGATTTTGCTAAGAGCAAGTTATCACAAAGTATCTGTGTAATGAAGCTAAAAGATAATAATATCGATACTAAACAGGAAAATACCGGCTTTGAAGGTAGTAAGAATGATCTGAACGACAAGAGTATACTGAATAAGTCTTCAAACTCGAAGAGTAAAGAAAATAGCATGTTTAGCTTTCAAGGTAAGTGGTCCTATCTTTTCTGGGTGAAAACTTTAGAAAAGTATATTATTTAAAACAAGAGAGTGAAGTTGTACTAATATTATCTAGGAGAAACAAAGGAGAAATTGAGCCCTACTAAGCCAGAACCAATAGAAGTCGGAGAGTGTAAGCAGCATTTCTTCCTTTCTCTAATATTGTTTAGTTTCAAGCTCACATCAAAGTCAGGAGTCATTAGATAAAGCTGAGAGGATATTAAAGCAAACTAAACAAGAGGGAAAAGCTGAAGAAGACACTCAACTTTTAAGAGAAGTATACCATAACCTCGGCCCAACAGATTCTGTAAACCCCAACCAGGAGATTAGTTGCCTGGGGATTAACGAGAGTCAGTTCCAAGGTATCGGTGAAGACAGCCAATTTAATGGAGTCCTTGACATCTCTGAGTTTCAAAAAGAATCAATTTTAGAGAAATATGAGATGTATGAAGAACACAGAGAAAGCGAGTTGCTTCAAAGGAATAGAATCTCAAGTGAGATTTCCACTCAAAGTAAGGCTATTGACAGAAGAAAGAGTGGGTTCTTGAAAAGAGAACCTCCGAAATCTCCTCAAAATCTTTTTGACCAATCCCAAAATTTTCCAGATTTTGAGACTTCTGCCATTGGAGCTGATGGACTCCATATGATTGATAAGGAGTTTGGAGATGGAAGTTTCATTAATCCTGCAACAAAGAGAAAGCTGTCCAGTTCAAGGAGGGAGTCAAACTTTGGAGGAAAAGTGCTCACTCCAGAGCAACAAGAGAAGGATCTTAGCAATCCTAGCAACTTAAAGGTTAGGCTTTAAGTCTTAATTTTAGACACCAGAGAAAGCCCAATTCGTTCTCACAGAGGAAAAGAAAGGTCCTAACAAGACTATAGGCTGCGGATCAGGAAAGAAATCTGAGGAAAATATTCCTTATCAAGAGAAACTTACCCCAGATCATCAGAAGATATCTCAATTTGGGAAGCAATTGAGTAAAATAACTGGGAAGAAGACCCCTCCTACAATAGAAAAGAGATTAAGCGGAAGCCTCTCTGATTATGACCCTAATAACGAAGAAAAAGGTCAGATAAAGAAAGAAATCTCTGAAGAAGAATTTAAGGCTAAGAGTAGCCTCCTGATGAATTACAATGGGGAGAACTATGAATACAATGCAGTGAATGAAATGAACAGTTTTGGAGCCACTCCTCAGAAAGTCAATCAAAACGTCAGTATAATGGAAGGTAGCCTAGATGATTCTCCTTCAAAGGAGTCTTCTCTTCCAACAAATAAAGATGTTGAAGAAGCATTACAGAAGTCGGATGACTCTTTTAAGGTTCAGAATATTTCTTTTGTAGATCCTTATGAAGAGAACGAGGAGCAAAAGTATGAGGAACAAAAATACGATGATAGTCAGAGAATTAAAAGGCTTATGCCCCCAGTAACAGCTTCTGAATCAGCTAATTCTAATAGCCACGCAAGTAAGGCTTTTCCTCGATTCTCTATCATATCATTATTAGTTTGTTTTCAGAGAGAAGAATTCATTATTTGAGTTTTATTTCGAATTCGAAATATTTTCCCTAAAGTCTTTTAGTCAATTTTTGTTGGGTTTTCAGATCTTTGTGAAATGTTTTTTTGGGGGTAAATACACTAATAAACAAAGTTTAGCAAGGTGCTTAGAGGATATATGAGAGTTAAATCTTCATGTAATCTTACTAATTTCTAGATCTTTCTCAATTTAGGATTATCAAGCATTTCATAAACACAAGTTTTAATATTCGGATTGTTGTTAAATTTTATATATTTCCCTAATCTGAGCACAAATCCAGGCCTGCCTTCTCTCAAAGAATTTTCCTAAATTGAAAATTTATTCGGGTTGACTATTTTCAATGAAAGCCATTTTCTTAAATTCAGATGAAATTTTCCAAAAATAAACTTTAACAAGTCTAATTTTTGAAATAGGAAATTATACAGAGCATGTGTTGCTTGAGACTCCTAAATCACACGATCTCCATGTAAGGCATAAGAGTAACGAACACAAGAACCAAGAGAGTTTGATTGAACAGAAACCTAGTACATGGAAGGAGGACTCTGACCTTCCTTCAGACGAAAATCTTGAAGATCTTTCTTCTGCACAGAGACAACAGAATCAGGCCTTCTTTAGTATCACCCCTATGGCTCTTGAAATGGGCAAAGATGGGAAACCAATTGATCCCAGAGCTAGCAGATTCAGGAGAACTGGAAAAGATGTCAAATTCCCATTCCAAGAAGAGTCTCATAGCGGTATGGATGCCGATTTTCTGAACAAAATGTACGAAAATAAGAAGAAAAAGAAGAAAAATAATCAGAAAAAGAAGAGAGACTTAACGAAATATCAAAAGAAGCAAAGGCATAGAGTCAAGGACTCAGTAGAATTCATGTACGGGAAGATCCTTGATAATGATTATGACATCGATAATGGCTATTTTAAGGTCTTCTAACCTCCTAGCTTGCTCTTTTAGAGCTATCATTTGGTAAACTAGGTGAAAATCTTTGTACTAATTTCATCATTTTTATAATTTGTTGTCGATAGTATTAAATTATACAATTTTGCTCAAAAATAGAGGGGTTTTGGGGTTTTGGGGTTTTGGGGTTTTGGGG